AAACCCAGGAGTTTATTAAAGCAAAGAAGTGGAATATTCTTAAATGGCCAAGTCAGTCTGATCTCAACCCAACTGAGCAGCATTTCACTTGTTAAAGACTAAACTTCAGACAGAAAGAACCACGCACCAGTGCCACTGAGCCCTCTGCCCACCACAAGCAGGTGAGGCAGGCGAAGTGTCTTGCTCAAGGACATATTGGCTGAGATGGATGGAATGGGGAATTGAGCCGGCAACCCACTGGTTAACCACTCTGCCACAGCTGCAGGAAGATACACACTGATTTTAACGACTCCACAATCCAACTTAAAAAAAAATCTTAACTTGATTTAAACATTAAGCCTATTCTTTAAGGTCACATATAATTTTCTTTATTCTGTGTTTTTTATTTAGCTGTTTGATCAGAAACCACCCACTAAAGCTGGCCCTTTCTGCTGGAGCTGTGGTCTGTGGGTTCAGAGAGAGAGTAACAATTCCCTGTTGGAAAACCGAACATCCACCACTTAGAGCAAAAAAATAATCCTTCCAGGCCAGGGGCTTACAAGTTTTCACATCTAGAGTCCAGGGTGCTTGGCCTTCGCGGTGACCCTGTTTGAGGCCTCAAATGGAAGAACAAGCCCTGGGAATCAGCTGTGCTTCAAGGGGTTGAGCACACACACATCACACACACACACACACCTCCTACCCTTCTCTCACTCATTTTTTCGTCTCTCCCTCATACTCCCCTGAGTGGCACTTATTGAACTGTGACAAACGAGCCGTGTCAGACCAGCCCCCCTACCTGGGGGATTGGCTAAATGACCTTTCCATTACCCAACCGCTGCTGTATTCCCCCTCCACAGATAGAGTTACCCACACGGCCACCCAGCCCATTTGCTGAGACCTGTGTCACTGTTGCTACTGTTCACAGCTACATCCCCTCCAAGCACGGAGATGCAAACATCTTTACCATGATATGCATGTTTTTTTTATTTTAAGATCAAACATCACTTTAGCTTGAGCATGTGCAGAACTGAAGTCTATACCTGACCCAGTGTGGGCATGTGGACTCAGGACCACTGGTTGTTTGGGTTTCCGCGCTTCTCTTTTTGTGTGCAAGTCTCCGGCCTGCGGCGCGCGACTTAACTGGTTTTCACACATTTCCCCCGTCCTTCATTCCTGCTAATCCCCTGTTGACCAAAGGCACCAGCCCCGGATCTCACCAGATACTTCAGGGAACCTATCTGAGGAGAGGAAGGTGTGGGGAGAGGGCTGTAGTGAAAAGGTTAAGAGAGGATGAAGAGGAATGAGAAGAGAGAGAGCGAGAGAGAGAGAGGTGGCACAGAGAGGGCAAGCATGATGCAAAAGAAAAAGCGATGAGGCAACAATAGAGACAAAGTAGACGAGGCTAAAAGAATTCAGGTGAATAAAAAAGAGATTGGGGTGTGAAAATGTAAGAAAAAAACAAGGTTTTAAATTGAGCGTGACAGAACACAAAGTTTGGTGGATTCTGCTGGTTTAGGAAAGCAAAGAAGTGAGTCCTTGGCTACATTAGTGGAAACCTTTTAGGAAGCTGACAGACGGGGAGCTAATGATGTGAAGGCACAAGAGCCGGGCCTGTAGTTGTCAGTGAGTGAATCTGTACAACTTGTCATAATACAGCTGAAAAGCAACAGCTTAAGAAGGTGAAGGAGGAGGAGGAGGAGAGGAACAAGCTCCAACCTTGCACAGTAAGCTGGTGTGTGTGTGTTTGTGTTTGTGTGTGTGTGTGTGTGTGTGTGTGTGTGTGTGTGTGTGTGTGTGTGTGTGTGTGTGTGTGTGTGTGTGTGTGTGTGTGTGTGTGTTCTCATGTTGGATCAAAGTTTTGCTTTGAATGAAACATTTATTAGCTGCTTTAATCCTCAGTACTATGGCTAAGAGCTCCAGCTTTAATCAAATTGATCCTCGTGTGTCGGTTATTCCCTGACGTGTTTCTCCGCACGCTGGGATGAAGGCAGCGAGGGGAACATATGTGCACACATATGGGGAGTATCCGTGTTTGTATGGATTTTATTATTTTGTGCTGGTATAAATATTTCATTAGCGCTGATGTCACATGATGTGATCGTTACCATGCTTCTGTTTCAGTGAAGACGTCAAAACGTGGAAGAACGGAGACTGACTATGTTGACACTGGGAGTGAAAACAGTGGGCGAGGCAACAAGGTGTCCAAACACGTGTGTCAAACTCAAGGCCCGTGGGCCAAATGTGGCCCTGCCACAGCAAGAGCTTCAAAGATGTAATACCTTAAAATAAACAAACTCTAAAGACATCATTGGGCCTCATGCAAGAACATGTTCGTATTTTTATCCTAAATTTCTCTTACTTTCGTTATTACGAAGGGTTCGTACGAACATGTCACGTCAGATTCAACAAACTCTTCTATCTTCAGGAAAAGTGTGTAAATGAGCTGTGTAAATTCCA